AAAGGGTTAATTTGTATATATTGTTTTTCCCTTTTTAATTCTTTATATATTTATTCTAGAAGCTTCCCTTTTTATACAGTATACAGTTAGTTTGTTAGGCACATATGTGTATACTTAGCCCATTACTGTACATTGTAATTCATTCAATTATTAACACAAGAATATGTCAATTTTATTCTCTCATACTCTCCTTCGTGCACAGCTCTCTGGTTTTCTACCTTTCTAAAACTTACATGGTATCAGAGCCTTAGAGAGCACCGTCCATGGAGGATTCCCATAGTTCAGACGGTTCTTTTTCTTCCCCAACCCAACCTTCAATTCGTTCTAGCCATTCAGCAACCAACAATCGTGCTGCAAACCAGACGAAATACCTCAACCTCACAGACCTTTGCGACCCATTTCGCCTAGACACCAGCGACAACCCTGCCGTGCTTTTGGTCACGGATCTCCTCACTTGCGACAACTACTCCACCTGGTCGCAAGAGATATGCAGAGCACTTCGCGCCAAAAATAAGTTGGGCTTCATATTTGGCTAAACCAATTGACCCGAATGATAATCTCTTCGATTTGTGGGAACACTGCAATGACATGGTGGTTTCTTGGCTACAAAATTCCATCAGCCCTTCCATCAAAGCTAGAGTGGCCTTCGTTGATGACGCCCGTGAGATTTGGCTCGATCTTGAGGATCGATTCTCTCATCAAAATGGACCTCAAATTTATGAGCTCAAGAAGTCCTTGCCAGCCTTCTCCAAGAATCAGACTCTGTAAGCATTTATTACGACAAATTAAAAACTCCATGGGATGAGTTATTGATCTATGACCCTATTCCAGTTTGTACATGTGGTTCCATGAAAACACTCTCTGATCGTTATCAACGTAACTTTGTTTTCAAATTTTTGATGGGCTTGAATGACACACACTCTCCTGTTCGGGACCAAATTATGCTTCTCGATCCATTACCCCCTTTGACTAAAGTGTTTTCCCTCATCCAACAAGAACGCCACTACCAGATGGTCTCTGTCTCCTCCTCACCTAATTCCATGGCTTTTTCCATCAGACAACCCTTTCCCAATCCCACCAAATTCCCTCCCCATTCCAAACCCAAGAGAGACAGAGTTTACTGTACCCATTGTAAGATCACCGATCATACATTTGAGACTTGTTTTAAAGCTGGTAATGCTGAGGCACCTATTTGCTCTCACTGCAACATGTCTGGACATACAATGGAGAAATGCTACAAGCTTCATGGCTATCCACCAAGCCATAAACTGTTCAATAAATCTCAAGTTCCTCTGCTCTTGCCGCTCAATCTGTTTCTAACCAAGAGGCTGCCAGTGATGCTCAAGTAGGCCTTACCAAGGCTCAATACCAGCAACTCATGGCTTTACTCTAACCTCGAGAGTTTTCTTCCGCTGTCCAGCCTTCTACAAATCACATTCAGTCCAATTTTCCAACAACTTCAACTCCTCACATTTCTGGTATAGCCCTTTGCTTATCCACCAGCACCCACTACACTTTGTCATCTCAAATGCTCCTTGGATTATTGATACAGGTGCAATGGACCATATGGTATGTTGCCCCTCTTTGTTGACCATTATCACAGCCACAACTTTTCACTCAGTTAGATTACCAAATAGGACAAATGTCCTTGTCACACACACAGGCACAGTTCAGTTAACCAGCACCATTCTTCTTACTGACGTTTTATGTGTTCCATCGTTTAAATTCAATTTGATTTCTGCCAAGAAATTGGCAGTCATACTCACCTGTTGTCTAGTGTTTTTCTCTGATTTTTGCCTCATACAGGACCTTCTCTCATGGACAAGGATTGAGAAGGGTGAAGTGATGAATGGACTCTATTACTTGCTTAATACTATTGTTCCTCCCTCTACTCTGGCCACCACACTTCAGCCTTTAACTAAGAACTCTATTACAGCCTCTGTTACTAGTTTTCATAATGTTACTGACCTATGGCATTGTCGCCTAGGTCATCTTTGATTTCCAGTTTTACATATGATCACATATCCTATTGTACGAGACCATGTTTCCGCCATTAATACAAAACCATGTTATGTTTGTCCATTAGAAAAATTTCATAGACTTTCATTTCCTCACAGCACACATAAAACAACTAAACCCTTTAAAATAGTGTACTGTGATCTCTGGGGGCCAATTTCAGTCCCTGCCTATGATGGTTCCCTTTACTTTCTCACAATCGTTGATGATTTCACTTGAAGCACATGGTTTCCTTTACTTTCTCAACATTCCTCTTGAATTTTGGAATGATTGTGTTCTAACGACCACATATCTCATTAATAGAACCCCTAGCCCTTACTTAACAATAAAACTCCATTTGAATTTTTATTGAACCACCCACCTACTTACTCACACTTGAGAGTTTTTGGTTCCTTTTGCTTTGCTTCTACCCTACATCAAGGTAGGAAGAAATTTGATCCTAGAGGTCGCACGTGCATCTTTCTCGGGTACCCTTTTGGCACTAAAGACTACAAGCTTTTTGACCTTGAGTCACGAACAACTTTCATCTTTCAGGATGTGCTATTCTATGAGACCATTTTTCCATTTCATATCATAAATACAAATACCTCTCCTAACCATACCTTTGTCTTTACACAACCCTTACCCGATACACTTAACTTTCCCTTTCACTCTCCCAATTTTCCACCTGTGCAACCTCACCATACATCCACCCATTCACCGTCACCTGATCTCCCCATCTCAACCTTACCTGCCCACTCTCCCTCCACATCTTCTCCCATACCTTTACTACCATTTCCATTCCCAATATTCTATCTAACCCTCCTCTACGCAGGTCTACCAGGCTAAGGAGAGCACCATATTATTTGTAAGAGTTTTATTGTAGCCAGACCTGACTCTCAGCTCCTTCTCAGTTGCTGTCCACTTCCATAACCGGTAATCACTGTTCTCTTGCTAATTTTTTATCTTATTAGAAATTTTCTTCTGCTTTCACTACCTTTTCTACATCAATTTCTACCATTTCTGATCCCTTTACTTACAAACAAGTTGTGAAACACCCTGGTTGGAGTCAAGCCATTTTAGCTGAGTTATTTGCTTTAGAACAAAACCATACTTGGATCATCACTGACTTACCTCTTGGAAAAGAGGCCATTGACTACAAATATGTCTACAAGACTAAATTTAATGCTGATGGGTCTGTAGAACGCTTAAAAGCAAGACTTGTAGCGAAGGGATTTACACAACAAGAAGGCATAGACTATACCGAGACATTTTCTCTGGTAGCTAAGCTTTTCACAGTGAGAGTTTTATTGTCCTTTGCTACAGTTCATGGCTGGTATCTTTTCCAATTTGATGTCAACAACGCATTTCTCTATGGAGATTTGAATGAGGAGATTTATATGCGTAAACCACCCGGTTACACCAAAAGGGGACCCAACCAAGTTTGTAAACTCCTCAAGAGTCTATATGGTCTTAAACAAGCATCATGGCAATGGTACTCTAAATTCTCCTCTTCACTCATTGCTTTTGGTTTTCATCAATCTAAAGCTGATTATAGTTTATTTACTAAATTAGATGGTACTTCTTTCACTGCTCTTTTAGTTTACGTAGATGATATTATTGTTGCTGGAAATTGTACTTCTTCTATTGCATCTCTTAAATGTTTCCTCAACACCCAATTTAAGTTCAAAGATCTTGGTTGTATGCGCTATTTTCTTGGCTTGGAAGTTGCTAGATCCTCCAAAGGAATTCACTTATGCCAAAGAAAGTATGCTTTGGACATTTTGGCAGACTCTGGTACCCTTGACAGCAAGCCCCTTCAGCTTCCTCTTGAGTAGAATTTCAAACTAAGCAAGACTACTGGAGTTTCCCTCTCAGACCCGAGCACCTACAGACGACTTATAGACCGTTTGTTGTACCTCACACTTACGAGGCCTGATATATCCTATGCTATCCAGCTCTTCAGTCAGTTTATGGATCATCCAACCACCTCTCACTTGGCCACAGCCCATAAGGTACTTCGATATATTAAAGCTGCTCCTAGCCAAGGCATATTATTTTCTTCTTTTTCCAAGCTTCAGATCAATGCCTTTTGTGACTCTGATTGGGCATCATGTCCTAACACGTGTAGAAGTGTCACCGGCTATTGTGTGTTTCTTGGGGATTCTTTGGTTTCTTAGAAATCCAAGAAACAATCTGTTGTTTCTTGTTCCTCCGCTGAAGCCGAGTACCGTTCTATGGCCACTACATGCTCTGAAATTACTTGGCTTCGTTATCTACTCATTAATCTTCAAGTTCCTCATCCACAAGCTGCATTACTTTACTGTGACAACCAAGCAGCCCTCCATGTAGCTGCCAATCCTGTTTTCCACGAAAGAACAAAGCATATTGAGTTGGATTGCCACTTAATTAGAGACAAGATTCAAGAGGGAAGCATCACCACTGCCCACATTGCATCAAACAGCCAGCTGGCCGATATTTTTACCAAAGCCTTACCCTCCTATCTTCTACGGTAACATTTATCCAAGATGGGAATAGTCAATCTCTATTCTCCATCTTGTGGGGGGCTATTACACAATGAAAAGGGTTAAACGTATAAAAAGGCCCTTATCACTAGGTCTCCCACTTCTGAGGGGTACATGGCAAGATGACCGGTGTTAATTGATCAAGTCGAGATACATATCATAATTAGTTGTATAACTCATTTTGTGAGTTCATATGTTCTTTATTTCTTTTTTGGCACATGTTGATCCCGTTGAATAAGCATTGGTGTTATACGTATTACTCTAATGTGCTCGCTGCATATTAAATATTAACATTTAATAGACTCTTCTTATCCTTGATACGATCCAATGATCAATCCAAAAGACTCCTTGACCAATCCGATCCAAAATTACGATCCAAACAACCTTGGCTACGTATATCCAGTTACAGAATGTGGTATACAATCTAACTGTAGCAAATTGTGAAGTTATTCACAGCTTTTTGTACATCCAGGAGATTTCTCAAGCTTTTCCTCTGAACAAGAAGGAGGTGGAGGGAATTCCATTTCTCATTGTTCTTATGATATCTGATGCAGAAGGCCTGAGGCTGGGAGAATCGCAAAGGCACATTGCTGCGAGGGAAGTCATGACCTTGGCTTCTTCCAAATCAAAGTCCCCACCGAGATGTGGATCCACCATTTCCACCACCTTCTCTGCATCTCGCAGCATTGGGTCAAGTGTTCTTGTCAATCTCTCTCTGGTATGCGCACTGAAGGCTTCCATTCCCGTTATGAGTTCCAATAAAACAACTCCATAGCTGTATACATCATTTTTTTTGGAGGCAAGCCCTGTCCTGAAATAGTGAGGATCTGTATAGCCCGGAGAACCAAGCATCATCCTGTTTTTTCCAAGGGAAGATGGTGGAAGCACTGTGGAAGAGAATCCCATCTTTGCAGACCCAAAATCGCATAGCTTGCAATTCAGTTGCTCGTCCAGCAATATGTTTGAAGATTTTATGTCACCGTGGACGATTTGCAAAACGCTTTTCTCATGGAGGTATTCCAATGCCTGAGAAAGTTGGAACGCTATTGCCATGCGTCTCTTCCAAGGAAGCACTGGCCTCTTTCTTCCCATTGATTTGTCTATACAGTGAAGTTTCTCGTGCAAATTTCCGTTGGGTGCGTACTCGAGTATCAGAAATCCTTCATCTGGAATCAAAAACAAGAGCAAATCATTTGTATTAGCATATGGTACGTCCAAGAACTTCTAGAACTACAAAAAGCAAAAAGCTCGAGTGTTAATTAATTACCGCACCTTGATCATCACAATAACCAAGCAGCTTCACTATATTATCATGCTCGAGGTGGAGAAAGATTTCCAGTTCCTGCTTGAACGCTTGATTGAGACGGTCGCTTTGGCTGTGGATCTTCACGGCGCCCTTCGTCAAGTCCGGAAATTGAGCAAGATAGACAGTACTAAATCCTCCATACCCGATCACCGAAGAGAAATTCATTGTGGACTTCTGCATCTGGTCCCAGGAATATCTCCTGGCGCTAGACTTGATGCTGTCATGTCCTTGATGATTACCACGTTCAATGGATACAACTTTATCACTGATGCTTTTACGCCTCAATTTGAATTTGAGGAACTTAAGAAACGACGCGAGACACATGACAAAGAGTTCTTTAAGAAACAATGTCTATGCACCAACTGCAATCGAAACTTTGAGGTCAAAAGACAAGTGATGGATTATAAAAGGGAGGCCGGCGGTGGAATGGCATCAGTAGATTCAGGACTAGAAGTAATGTATTGTTGGTTGGTATTACCTTTGAAACAACGTGGAAGGTGGATATAGAAGAATAAAAAGCCTAAAATGTATAAAATAACAAGAAGATACTCGGCAATCTGGGGAAGATATTAGAAGAGTCCCACAGGGCCATAACCCACAGACAATTAGACTGCTGGTTCCATCCTCGTGTGGTTTTGAAATCTTGCTGTTTGACTCGGTGCTGGAAGGTGTGGCCTCCATGGACCACACATGTTTTTCGATTTATATATATATTGAGCACGTCAAAGAATAATTATACTACGTATCTAGCCAGTGGGCGTCCTCGTGCGGTCCCCAGTACCAATTTTAGAGTTGACTACCCGGGTCATAATCATCAACCAACCAACCTCTCCTTCTCTCCCTCCTCCGTCCAGCAGGAAAGGTAATATAATATAGCGATCAGTAATTATTGTGTTTTTTCCACCGTCACTGTATGGTTAAGGTGGTTAACACCCGTTTGGTTCCATTATTTAAAAAAAAAAAAAAGAAAGAAAGGAAAGTTTTGAATAGCATTTTTAGGAGAATGTGGTCAGAAAAAAATTGGGTTTTATGCGTAAAATATTTTATTGGATGAATGCGTGATTGAAATGACCATATAGTAAAAAGAGTTATAAAATAATGGACACCAAACAGGGCTCGAGTTTTGGTTGCTCAAGTTTTTTAAGGTTAAATTTTGCCGTAAATAGCAGTCTGCTTGTATTTGGGGATCGAAGTAGATCCATATGTGGGTATTCACAATTACAGATAGTCAAATAGCAAAACAGAGATCCCATCACGATACAATTTGAATTAGAAGTGGCGTGCTAGTCTTTAATTTCTTTGTTTATTGATATAAAACTTTTCATTAAAAACATGGAAATTGAGTTCAGATAATGATGGGAGACCAAAATCTAGAACCAGAAAAATTCGGATTCCAACCGAGTTCACATATGCTGTTGATACAGCATATTGGGGGGTAATAAAAATGAAAAATTTGCTGGTAAAAGTGAAAAAACATTTGAGAAAAAACCCATTACAATTTACAATTCCCGACTTAATTATAGGACACACAATTAATGATTTTGAGAATATCTAATTATCAACTAAAATATGCGATTAAAATTAAGCAACAAAATCTTGGAGTTTAATTATTTCTTGACAGATACTAGAATCCCATATTTCATCAGTGTTAATTTACTTTAATCCTTAATTACATGTCATTAATCAATACTTACGTATGTTGACAATACATATTCCTTGTATGAACATTTTCTCTCGCGAGAAAAATTAAAATAATTTTTACCAGTCATCCAACTATATTTCCATGATGGATTCAAAAGGATAAGAAATTAAAATATCACAAGTGTTGGGAATCACAGCCTAAGACAAGCATCAATTCACAGTATAAATATGCCCATATCATATGCTGTTGATACAGCATATTGTGGGGTAATAAAAATGAAAAATTTGCTGGTAAAAGTGAAAAAAAATTTGAGAAAAAACCCATTACAATTTACAATTCCCGACTTAATTATAGGACACACAATTAATGATTTTGAGAATATCTAATTATCAACTAAAATATGCAATTAAAATCAAGCAACAAAATCTTGGAGTTTAATTATTTCTTGACAGATACTAGAATCCCATATTTCATCAGTGTTAATTTACTTTAATCCTTAATTACATGTCATTAATCAATACGTATGTTGACAATACATATTCCTTGTATGAACATTTTCTCTCGCGAGATAAATTAAAATAATTTTTACCAACCATCCAACTATATTTCCATGATGGATTCAAAAGGATAAGAAATGAAAATATCACAAGAGATTCCACTAAACATATATGTATCTCTATTTCCTATAATATATAGCGTTGTTTCATCCTAAACCTCTTGAAATTAAAGTAAATAAAAAGAAAACGTTATCCTTGAATCTTTTCAAGAATTAGTTAAAAATGAGAAATTAATTAATCCAAAAGTCGACAAGGTTTTATCGTTATCTTATCCTCAAGAAGTTTAGTCTAACATGGCTGAATAGCAAAAAACATGTTTGGATTAGAAGACATAATCGGAGTTTCACAACAATTGAAGAAAACGAGAGTATAAATCATCAATGTTTGAATCTCTTCAATAGATCTTGAATGATCTTCCTTCTCCTCATTTTGACTCCAAGAATCCCGGATGATGTGTTTTGCTTCCTAAGATTTATATGATGTCTACTTCCAATAATTTTATATGCTCTTCCTTCTCCTCGTATTGAATTTCTCGTATGGCTTTCTATTATGTGGTATAGAATCCTCCTTTTATGACATGAAATTGATCTTCATATAGTCATTTATTACCTTGAAAGTGGTGCATGGAAGAATATCGAAGTTTTCCTTGAAAAAACCAAATCGTAGTCTATTTATTTTGCCTAGACGTGCTTCAGCTGATGTCACATGTCCTATGCATGCGACCTCAAGCCCTCAATTTTCATGTTTTCACATTATGATCCTCAAAGTTTCATCCTTGCTCAATTTGGTCCCTAAAATTTGAGTATTGTCAATTTAGGTCTTTCTTTCAATATTTTCAACTTTGTTCCTTTAAGTCCAGAAAAAGTTCAATTTAGTCCCAAAAGTTTTTATATCATACATTTTCCCCCCAGAAATGCTCCAAATGAAAAATTTGTCGCGAGGTTCATGGTTCGTCTCAAAACGAGCTCGAGTCACCCATGTGTCAAGTTAGGATGAGACCAGCTCGCTAGCGGCTCAACCCATTTTTCACCCTGATATTGCACATAGCTTCTTCCATGCCGCTTCCAAAATCAATAGATAATAATATATAGGGTAAATTCTACTCGAGTCTCCAATCTCTCTTAATTGTGTTTTCTGTGAAACTTACAAATGCATAATATCACGACGAGTAATAAAACTGGATTGTGAGTTCAGTACTCATCTCAAAGAACTATGTACCTCACATTGATTTCTTTTATTAATTCTAT